CACTGGTACAACGCGGTGCGGTCCATGCCATGCACCATTGCAAAGATCATTAAACGAGCTTTATTGTGGACTAAAAAACAGTACTAGCAAGGTTTCGAAACATTAAAATATTGCTGATTCAAAACTACAACGGAAAATGTGCTGAAAAACGAAAAATTACATAAACTTAACAAGAAATTCTCTGATTTTCAAAATTCCAACTTTCCCGTTCTCACAAACACGTTTCCTCTACGTATAAAAGATCTGCGCATGCTTTATGTCCTTTGACATTTACTGCGACACCATAAAACAAGACCTTGGAATGTATACTGTCCGCAGCAACGCTTGAGAGTAAATGACGCGTCGGCGACGATCCTGGTGTGAAAGGACGATAAGACAAAGGGAATTATAGGATTAAACTTGTCTAAAACAAAAGAAGTTTAGAAGGATTATTTTGGCTGTGACTCCTTCTCTTTTTACCTCCATGCACATACCATGGAACTATAATTATAGAACTATAGTTCCATGCACATACTAAGCATTTCAAACAGGTATGAAGCATCTATGCATTATCCTTGGTACATATCCTGTTTGTCTGAGCTGCAATCGGACAGATTCAATTGGAAGATTGTGCCTAATTGGCTACCCACCCTAACATTCAGACCAATCAGTGAGCAGTTTGTATGTTGACAGGTTTGTTCAGCGATGCCTTCTTCGTTCTCATTACCATGGAAGGTACTAACCGTTAGTACCTTCCATGTCATAACTGATTAGAAAGACGTTGTCAGCAAACTGTGTATTACTTTTAATGAGTTTAGCAAGTTCGATGTAATCGTGTTTATTTTTGATACCTGCGGGTAACACGATTCCTGAAGCTATACTGACTGTGATTCGGATCCGCGTCTATTGGGAGTACACATACTAGTAATACGCTGTGTGGCCGCTCATGAAATAAAAATGGATATGACAAGCAAAATGTTCTAAAACAACGTTGATAATTATTCTGACAACAAATACTATGGTTTTTGGTGTAACCCGAAATATCTGTGTAAGGTGAATTGTTAAAAAAAAGCAATTTTGTTGCAAACCAATACTAAATGGGAAGTTGTATTCTCGTTATGTGTTACATAATACAGAGCGTCATCAAATGGGTCTTGGGGTTATTTGCTGCAAACGATCATAAGACTGTAAGTATTTCGATTTCTTACCAATAAAGACTTTCTTCTGTCAGTCTTTGGAATGCTTTCGCCATGCTTCTTTGCCAATCTGACAATTCTTTGTTGAGATTCTTATCACATTTCTTATTCAGAATGTCAATACATTGTGCCTGTGACGGAATGGTTTCCTCGTTGTACGTAATCCAAGGCGTTTCTCCTTTGGATGATTTCTTGCGTGTATGAACGCTCTGTTTTGAAAGAATACATGATATAGATTGCGTGTTTTTATTTAGTTGGATTGTATTTGAAATTCGGTTCCGATATTCGTACCTAAATTAGTGTGCCATACACTCACTAACTAAGTAATTGTAAACAAAATACCTTATAGGGGATTTCTGCCATGCGCAAATACGTTTCCAGTTTGATTGCAAACGGGGATAGACTTGGCGTATGTTTCGCTCTCCCCATTTGGAATAAGATGGCAGTATTCGGCGGATAACTATGAATAAAAACAGAGTAAACAATCCCATTATTTTAGTAATGATCAAGAAAAAAAGTTCCTATAAATTGTGCTTGTTATTAAAGATGGCCGATGTATTACGCTTGGAAAGATAGGACGATGATCAGGGATCGTACCAGGGATGACACTTTCTTTAGAATGGTCGGCCAGTTAATCAGTTAATAATTAACGATCAATATGATTGTTTAATACAGTTTTCTTAATTGAGTGAAATGCATTTCCTAAATTATCAAATCATTCAACGACATCAGACTGTGTTATCTGTGACTGTTATACTGTGTGTTTCTCTAGTACCACAGTTTTATTTTGATTTGGATTTGGTGATTTCTTCACTAGATATTTGATTCTCAGTTATCATTAAAATGTATAAGGATTCTCAGGTTTTCTTGAAGCTGTTAAAGTACATATGGTCACATATTGGACGAAGTTGTTGTAAAATAAGCTTAAAAAAAGAGTATATAAATATACATATCAACCTCGAGTGTGTGGTCTGCTACATACTCGTAACTATGTTCTTAGTTGTGAGTATTAAATTCCGCTGGATATTCATATACATGTATTCAAAAATAACCAGTCACTAAAACTGTAATATCAGTTGAAAGGCAAATATGATACAGACATAAGAAATATTATTATATTTTACTATCAGTAAATCTTCGGTGGTTCACATATTACATTATCCCATATCCCTTACAATATACAATATCTGAATGCTCTTAATTGTTACACACATACACAATGTCGTATCAAATAGCGTACACGCATATATGCTAATATACCAATAATTGATTATATAAACGTGATTAGCCCACATTTGTGACGTCACACTATTGTATTGAGCGGTCATTATCAGGTGGAATAACCGCCAGACGAAAACAGGTGGAGGCAGTTCTCGAAATCGTAAAATTCACCTGCACATCGCCCATGACCATAATTAGGGTGACACTTCCACTTCGATTATAAAAGCGTTTTAAGAGCGTGAACCGAAACAACTACCTAATTCCCTATGGTGTTATCTACTTATACACTGCTAATTTTATTTAAAATCTCTCATCAACAAATAATTTCCAACAATTATTGATACTGACCGCCCAGCAACCAGGACCACACCTGATTTGCCTGATTTTATTGACAATAGCACTTTTACCGCCACAACAACACTAAAACCTTCGGACTAGTTGCTTTAACGTTTAAAGAGGGGAAATATGGCCAGCTGTGACGTCATCGCTGATCGGCTACTCAATCACTTTGCCAGTGTATATTTAATATAAATGCCCCTCATATATTAGCTGGTACCTGTCTTCATTTATTGAAACTGGGTAATATGGGCCAAGAGCAATGGACGAATCATCTTGTTGAAAGTCAAACCTACCTTAAAATAAATTATCATATTAATTAGAGATATACTTTGTAATTCAGATATACACATGGAAATGAAATTTCACTTTATTTGTTTAAATTATGTACATTTCACGATGTTATGTATTGTTCAACTAAGAAATCTGCGTATGTGAAAAACATACTCATACAATCATTCTGATATACTGTGCATTCAAGTTATAAAATCGAAAAAGCAGATGTCACTAAAACGATTACGAGTTTCACGCCAAATATTCCCCAATCGTACTTTCTTGCATGTAATCCATAACACGCGCATTTTCAAAAACAAAACTTATGTTCACAACACAATGATGTTCATATCAAAACAATAATGTTCATATCAACACAAAAATGTTCATATCAACACAATAATGTTCATATTAAAACAGTAATGTTCATATCAATACAATATTGTTCATATCAAAAGAATAATGTTCATATCAACACAATAATGTTCACATTAAAACATTACTGTTCATATCAACACAATACTGTTCATATTAAAAGAATAATACTCATACCAACACAATAATGTTCACATTAAAACAATACTGTTCATATAAAAAGAATAATGTTCATATCAACACAATAATGTTTATATGAAAACAATAATGTTCATATCAACACAATAATGTTCATATCAACACAATAATGTTCACATTAAAACATTACTGTTCATATCAACACAATACTGTTCATATCAAAAGAATAATGTTCATAACAACACAATAATGTTCACATTAAAACAATAATCTTCATATCAAAAGAATAATGTTCATATCAACACAATAATGTTTATATCAAAACAATATTGTTCATATCAAAAGAATAATGTTCATATCAAAAGAATAATGTTCATATCAATACAATAATGTTTATATCAAAACAATAATGTTCATATCAACACAATAATGTTCATATCAAAACAATAATGTTCATATCAACACAATGATGTTCATATCAAAACAATAATGTTCATATCAATACAATAATGTTCACATCAACACAATAATGTTCATATCAACACAATAATGTTCATATCAACACAATAATGTTCATATCAAAACAATAATGTTCATTTCAAAACAACAATGTTCATATCAAAACAATAATGTTCATATCAACATCATAATGTTCATATCAAAACAATAATGTTCATATCAACACAATAATGTTCATTTCAACACAACAATGTTCATATCAACACAATAATGTTCATATCAACACAATACTGTTCATATCAACACAATAATGTTCATATCAACACAATAATGATCATATCAACACAATAATGTTCATATCAACACAATACTGTTCATATCAAAAGAATAATGTTCATATCAACACAATAATGTTTACATTAAAACAATACTGTTCATATCAAAAGAATAATGTTCATATCAACACAATAATGTTCATATCAAAACAATAATGTTAATATCAACACAATAATGTTCATATCAACACAATAATGTTCATATCAAAAGAATAATGTTCATATCAACACAATAATGTTCATATCAACACAATAATGTTCATATCAACACAATAATGTTCATATCTACATAACCGTACCACATAACCAGTTACAAATTATGTATGGACACAATGTTAGTTTGATTCAAGGGTGTACTTTGAAATTAAAATTGCTTGATGGATATACTTAGATAATGATCGTCATTAATATAAAATAAAGGAAAATATACAGATGGATTAATTATTTTGAAAGTGTGTCAGATCTGATGAATATTTCAGAAAGTCGAGACATGCAACGTAAATGTTAGTATTTAATTTGGAATGACTTTTAATCGTAATCCTACTAGTCACAATTATGTTGAAAAATTAATTATATACCAAATTATAACGGGACCCTGGATGCCATATTCCAACTGGACCCTGGGTACCAATAAATTATTCAGGTCACACACACACACACATATATATATACCCGTACATTGTCCTGTTTTCTTTTTTTAAAGCTTACGACCAGTCAAAATAGCAACACAGTAAACAACAGCGCCCCCGCCAACTATCGTTTCGCACGGAAGACTTCATGCATACTCATGTTATGTTGCGGGTTGTGCGATTATATTTAAACACGTATACCAAAATAAATATATGACATTGCAGATACCCTCCTCTTCCACCGCCCTTCTTCCCTCAAACTACTTGATGAAACATAAATTAGATTATGGGTGTCAATGCTAGAACTATTAGGTTAACCCGTAGTTCTTTATTAGATATTCAAAGTTATTTCATGGAGGTGATAAATTTAGAACAGAGCGTGAAAAGATGATGGCGAAACGGTGTTGAGTACGCACGACTAAAGTTTTTAATGTGTAATGTCTGTAATCCGATATACATTTCTCGCTTGATCGTATTGGCAGGTGCGATTTGCTCAACAAGCGGTCAAGTCTAGATAAACGGCAATTAGTTAAAAAATAACAGAGTTGACTGTAAATCGATCGTTGTATCTAAATATATACTCGGGGACATATTATCGAACAATGAAGCAACAACATCGTGATATTAATTATTTGAATAGAGATACGCGATGGTTAAAACCACAGTGAAATTAAGTCTGATGCGCATATTACCGTACACTGTGGATGGAAAGGCAAATAAATGAGTGACTATTTCTGTAAATATTCCGTTGAACTCCGCGCTATAGACACCTGTATATTTATATACTGCATACACACCTGTAATGTACACAGGTGTTGAGAGGTATACGTGCCTCCTAGTAACCGTACATAGCGGCAGCATCGAGTGGTACCAATCACGCTTCAATGATTAACCCTCAGATAAGTCAGCTGTGCGAAAAAGAAACCCTCAAAGCGGAGTTTTTCTAGGAAATACAATTATAGCTATACTACTTAATTATGTGTCCCGATGTTTTCCAATTATGAAACATTCGCGATCGTACGACGTCTTGACAAGCTTACAGTAAATATATAAAATAGTTAGTAACACAGAGTGGATTATAATGCAAAACAAGTGAACAACGAATTCATTGTTCACAGCTGGCCATTCTCACTATGAAGGAACATATATGTCTGCAAATCTACACGAACATTATCTCAATTAATTAACTGAAACTTACCTGCTTCGCGGCATTGTGTTTAAATCTTCAAGTCAGATATCAGCAAACATTCAATTTCAGTGCAGCCGTTTATTGTTTATAAAAATAAAAATATTCACTACGATGGGTCACACCCCTCTGTTGTTGTGTGCTTGAATCGAGGCGCTGTGACTACGTCACATCACTGCTGCTACGTCACGGGGTAAAAGAAATCTACCTCGACACGTCTAACAACGGTCATTTACGTAAACATCTCATGAATATTAATGAGGCAACCCCAGATAGACTGAGCGCGTGAGTGGTACTCACAGATATGTGAATGCTATTCCTATTCTTAAATTTCAATGTTTACACGGCGTGTGCATAGTAAGGTAGAATTACGTTTGGGCTAAAATTTAATATAGGAGTGGAAATACTGAACTATGTAGTATTATTATGGAATGGAGGTTGGGAAGCAAAATTAGGATAGGAAACGTTGGGGTAACCACATTTAATATGCATTTCAAAATTTTCATAAAAAAGTGCCAAATCACGTTATGATCATTGCACCACTATATAATGCTAAGGAGAAGTAATATACTAGATAAATAAAGTGAGGAAATATGTTTGTTTGTTTGTTTGTTTGTCAATACGCGACAAGCATTGATGTCAATGAATGTATCTTCATGTTCCTGTAATAACGACGGGTTAGGGATGTTACAATGAATTAGTCTCCCTAAATGTGTAGATGTTTTTGTAGATGGTTTATGTGCCAGATTTTAAGTCTGACTACATTCCTTCGTGTGCGGGAAATTTTGGGATATGTAGTCATAACATGTCGTGGTTTGACTTAATAAGCCAGCGTACCAGGCGTTTATGCATACATCTACGCCCGGTTTCAACATGGGTGGCGCTGTTGAAAGTCGGGTTCCCGCAGCTATCAGATTTGTTATACATACAAAAGATACAAAGCGAATTCAGTCTCAGTTAATGTCACTATAGCAAAACAACTAATTGCGGACTGGTGGATGCCGATATTAGCCCGTTGTCATGATGCAACTCTTCCTAAACAATGTCAGATTTATCTGGAGAGACCTTTTTATCAAATTGTCAGCACAATATACTTTGTTATGGGAATGCACTCGATTTATAGATCAGTGGGCTGTGCCACCGAGCCCTAAAATGTATGACCACATTTACACCTTAGGTTTATACCAAATACAAATTTTAACGTTACATATAGCAGCGTCAGGCATGGGACAGCTATAATAATACTTCCATATAATTGTAAAATGCACATAAAAGATTGGTATACAAAATTGAACATGATAGTACTCAATGTCACTGGTACAGGCCTTTCACCATGGAACATTGCCGCACAACGGAGACATGGTAGTGGGACTGTGATGCGGTTCTGGGGAACTCTTCAGGATCCAATTTATTGACATTTAAATAAACTTTCACTAACACCGGTATCTGCACTGTATGTAATTGTATGTGTAACAAAGAAATTCAAATTGTTCACATGTGCATGTCAGTAACCTGAAACTGTTCTGGTTACGGGAGAAGAAAGCGTGGTTGGGCAAAGCGATAAATTACAAAAATAAAAGTGAAAGGCCTGAACTAAGAGAATAATAGTGACTATCACATGACTGAGAGTGGTATAATTATAAAAAGCAAATGTATATTTTTTTTTTCTCTAATTAAGTGAAATCAAACATGGTTATGAACTCAACTATGCGTCTTAAACGCTTGCTGCCCTGATGTCCAAATCACATATTTGTATTTCACGTGAATAATATCATAGTTTATATATCTGAGTTTAATAATAAAAAACTTTTCAAAGTTGGTGTTACTACCGGCGAGGCTCTTCGTTAGCTTTCATTTGCATACAAGTATTCTCCTGGTGACGTCACCATAGAACATTGCCGCACAACGGAGACATGGTAGTGGGACTGTGATACGGTTCTGGGGAACTCTTCAGGATCCAATTTATTGAAATTTAAATAAACTTTCACTAAATGTTTTTATACACATAGTACGCTGTATTATTAGTACAGTAATAACTTGAGTCATTTGTTAATCTGTCATCGTGGTTTATAATTATTTTAAGTTTGTTCTCTGTAACAAAAAACGCGTGCAATATTTGATCTATGTTGATTCAGTGCGAATTGTCTGTTTACAATCACTCGATGATCACTGGTATTTTTATGTGCATGCATAGAGTCGTACAATAACGTTTAAATTTATCTTTGGGATAAACGCAACTACAGACGTATGGCAGTAAATGGACGTGTTCAATGACCTGATACGTGAATGCACGTTTTTCAATTGCTATCCCCTGCATTATTTTCGATGCGAGATTGGATTTCTATTTGATACAACGAAACACTAATACACGCTGCGCGCCGAGGACTTTTACCTGACCGAGGCTCAAAAAGGAGCCGCTATTTCCCGTTAATCTACGAGGAGGGGTAGTATAACGAAGTTATACTGCGAATTTGACGAGTTTTGCACGGCTTATTTTAAATCCTG